TGTAGAAAAAACCAACAGTGCAGAAGTTAGAACATACAGAATGGTATTGGGTGGCTAGATGTAGAAAAAACCAACAGTGCAGAAGTTAGAACATACAGAATGGTATTGGGTGGCTAGATGCATTGGAACAATAGATCCTCAATTTCTAATTACTTCCATGTAACATTAGAACAATAGATCCCCAGTTTCTGATTACTTCCATGTAACATTAGAACTCTACATCCCCAGTTTCTGGTTACTTCCATGTAACATTAGAACTCTAGATCCCCAGCTTCTGATTACTTCCATGTAATATTAGAAATGTATTTCCCCAACTAATCAATTACTTGCTTATTAATTATGAAAATACTACGAAGTTTCAAACAAAATTTCATGCATAATTAAACACACTAATCTTTAGAATTTTATTTTACCTGTTTCTTTAATACAAGATGTCGGCCTTTCCAATATTTCAACATTCCTAGGGCTTGTAAAGTACTGACAATATCATAAGCATTGATAGCTGTTTCCTGACTGATATCTAGAGAATAAGATGCATGCTTTTCATGATTATGAAGTTTTAACAATAAAAAACTGGTTTAAATACACTTCACACTTCAAGTTAAGAATTTTCAAAGCCATATCAACTTCTTAAACAAGACAAACCATTCAGATTTTATCAATGTAAGAATTCACATATAAAGTAAAACAGTATTAAATTAGAAAAATAATTCAGAAATAATAAAACAATGAATTTGATATACAAAGAATCAGTGCAAATTAAAACAGATTTTTCTGTAGCATCTTAACATTCCCATTTCATATATATATATATATATCTCAAGTTCATCAACATGCATGCAACTTATAACTTTAGATTTTCAAATTAATAATGATATATTCTTCTTTTACCTTTAATTGATATTTCTTTTCCATCATAATGACACAAATAATCAAGGAGAATACACTTCCAGTAGCTTCTATAGGAGATTAGACCAAGGTCAGAAAGAGGTTTTTCAGGAGAACCAACCTTCTGTTCAACTTTAGTCAGTAAGTAGCCTAAGATAAAAGTTTTCATGAAAATGCACCCAAATGCTAGACTGAATGCTATCTTGGAATATATTAAATGGATAATAATAATAATAATAAAAAAGAATGGACACCTAATTTACATATTAATCCCTGAAACAAATCTCTTGGAACATCTACATCTTTCCATACATTATAATTGCAATACTAGGTCAACTAAAAATCATTATTTTTTGGAGTTCTAAATATTCTTGTTAAGAATTGCACAGTCCTATTATTAACGTAAACTCCATGATTTACCTTCACACTTTGAATCACATTCAGGTTAAAGCAAGTGAAGAGGAGTGGAAATAGTTTGGTTTCTTGTAAATTTTGTGCAAAGCTACTCAAGGGCTATCTGCATTAGCCATTCCTAATTTAGCAGTCAAAGACTAGAGGGAAGGCAGCTAGTCATCACCACCGACTGCTAACTTTTGGGCTACTCTTTTACCAACAAATTGTGGGATTGACCATTACAGTATAATGCCTCCACAGCTGAAAGAAGGAGCATGTTTGGAGGGACAGGGATTCGAACCTGCAACCCACAGATTGTGAGTTGAGCTCCAAGTGAGATCAGTAAGAGAATGTAAGGAAGAAATTAAAGTAGAAAAAGATATTTGTGAGAATGAGAGAAAACTTTGAGGATCTTTTGGGAATGACCTAAGATGCTGTTCATATATCTCATAAAGAATTCATACCTTACATACATAATCAGAATATCTAGAAATAAGGTTCAGGGGAAGAATTTACTACGGAACTTGAAACCATCATAAAACTAAACATATGTTAAATTTTAATTAGTAAATAGGCTGAGTTTTGAGAATAGCTTAACAAGAGGACTAAAACATTTTCAGAAACATTACATCAAGTTTTTAATACTTACTGATATTTCTTTCATTATAGAAATTACTAAGTACATTATAGTATTGTAACTAGTGAAATATCCAAACCTATAATTAAACCACAACGTTATCCAACCTGAAAGAAATTTCAACATCTTAGACAACAACTATTTTACAGTAAAGATAAAAAAATAATACAAAATCTCAATAAATGAGGTTTACACACTTACTGAAATCTATCAACATCTTTCCATACCCTTGTCTCTGATACGGAGGCAGTGTTAAAATACAGGATACATTGTAATTCAAAAAAGAGCTTTTTTCCTAGAAAGACAAAAATATAAACTGAAAAATTTTAAAACTAGTTTTTTCATTGTTATTTTTTTATGGCAAAGCTTCTAATGCTTTTTAACTGCCGAACAGATGGAAAGCAATTCGGAGAACAGCACACACTTCCAATTCTTGGGCTACTCTTTTATTAATACTCTTTATATTATAATGCCCTCATGAATAAAATGTTGTTTGGTACTAGGTCTCAATCTTATGACCCACAGATTGCAAATTGAGTGCCCTAACCACAATTATAGACAGGTAAATATAATAAAACCAAAATTTTAACATAAATCGCTTCACTTATCAATCATATTAACAGTATTTCCAAAAGTTATTAATTTTTTTATTCTTAAGTAATTACAATAGTTTACTGTATATTTCAAATAATAAACTGAGTCTCTCTCTAAATATATATATACTTCAAATATACTTCATATGGTCTGCAGGTATCTCAATCACTTATGAATGTTGAAATTAACCATCTTGATTTCACTACCACCATTCTTATAAACATAATACTTGGAGTTCCATGCAATGCTACTGGGTGGGTATATATAACTGTACTATTCCCATATGTTTCAATTTTATGGTTTAAACATATTTGTACTGGATGTTATACTGTTATAATGATAACACTATCTTTTCACCATTTCATGCATGAACTATTATTTCACTACCACCATTCTTATAAACATAATACTTGGAGTTCCATGCAATGCTACTGGGTGGGTATATATAATTGTACTATTCCCATATGTTTCAATTTTATGGTTTAAACATACTTGTACTGGATGTTATACTGTTATAATGATAACACTATCTTTTCACCATTTCATGCATGAACTATTATTTCATAATCTTTAAGAGAAAATACAGAATCTATTAAAATGATAAAGCTTTGTCAAAATATTCATTTGCTCAATTTCAACCTTGGAGAAATACCCAATGATGTGACAGCCTTCAGTGTCAGCTTCTGTCATAATGTAAAACAAGAAGGGTTCCACATCAAAATAGAGAGTCTTATGATCCAGAAAGAGCTTGGCAAGAAGACAAAGGTTTTGGCAATAAATCTGTAAAGAGAACAAGTAAATTCAAGTTGTTGATATTTAACAAAAATATAATAAATGTTAAGATTCAACCAGCTCCCTGTAAATCTTGAGTGCATTATGTTAACACCTTAAGCTGAAAAATAAAACCTGCAGTAGTAAAAGACCACTAATGACATCTTAGGTACATGGTTAGCTATGTGACCTTTCAACTCTGGCACCAAACAACTGATGGATACTGCCAGATTTTAGTCTATATCTTGGTCTCTACATTATAATACAAACAATTATACCTCATGAACTAAAAAAAAAAAATCATGAAAAGTATTGAAGCTTAATACTCTATTCAGATTTATTGAAGTTGCCATGTTTATGTCTGTTAACTTTCAAGAGTTTCTGTCTTCCCAGATTTTAGTCTATATCTTGGTCTCTACATTATAATACAAACAATTATACCTCATGAACTAAAAAAAAAATCATGAAAAGTATTGAAGCTTAATACTCTATTCAGATTTATTGAAGTTGCCATGTTTATGTCTGTTAACTTTCACATAGTTTCTGTCTTCCCATAATCTCAAATTGGATTGTAAAAAGTGGTAATATTTCCTGAATTCTGGAAACTTATCACAATTTTCCTTGATCTGTGTCTCAGCTGTGATTTCCTCTAAATGGAAAATTTTCAATACTGACCAATGAAATTCTTTCTTTATATGTTCAAACTAAATAAGAAATAAAGATGAGAAAATTGTTGACTTGGGGGTGGGGGTAATAGCTTGAGTCAGCTTGGATTATTTACTGTATCAAAATAGTTATCCCTCGAATGGTTTTATTCAGTGATTGATACTATGCTACCCAACTAAAAAAGATATAGTGATAAACAACTGCATAAATGAGAAAAAACATGAAAAATACCATGTATAGTTGACAAAAAACAGTATCAGTGAATAACATGCCTATTGTGCACTTTGCAATAGACTTCAAAGTTGACCACTGGGGAGAGAGTGATGTCATAAAATATGCTTCACCATATCTCTACCTATCAATTAGCAAGCCCAAAACTACACAAAGTCAGCTTCAAGTTTTTCCACATGACCAAATAATGATGGTTAGCTGAAAATAATGTCTACTTATAATGTACAGTATTGTTTGTTTATTCAGAATAAATAAATTCAGACAAAATAAAAATTATAATAATAATCACATCATGATTACATTTTTATAGGAATATTGAGCACAACAAAGAATAATTGGTTTTTCTAAACTTATTATTACTAAATCACCCAAACTAAACTCTTAGTTTTACAGCTTACCTTATTTTTATCCCCATCAACCTCAAAGACAGAGATATTTCCTTTCCTGTAGATTTCATCACCAGGTGGATGTCTCCATACACATTTAGCCTTTAATTTATTAAGTATAAGAAATCAAACAACCAACAATAAAAATTACTAATAATGTTGTATATCAAGTAAAACTTTTCTGCAATTGTTTAAAATCATTTTATTAAATCTGACATGGATATTCAGCATAATCATAAAAAAACCTGATAAACCTTACCACTTATCCTAAATACAATACTTAATCTATGCAAAAACTGATCACTTTAATTCTAAACATTAAACATTACAACATTTTCAGATGGAATAATAAATTCTACCAACATTTTATATTTTTAAGTAAAAAAATTATACATCACGATATATTATTGCAAAGTCACTATCTATTGCATAAACTTGAAGAAACTACTATATGGCAAAATAATCTGGTTCATCATAATGCTTCAAAAATTTTTGATAAAAAGAAAAGAAAAGGTTAAGTGTTTTTTCAGACTGATTTACAGTTGATCTGTTAACTTTTTTGTGCCAAACCAGCGGAAAGTTAACATTTTCCTAAACCTCTTCTCACACTTCAGCCTTTTCCCAACTATAGTTTCTCTTCTTTACCCATCTAAGCTTTGGTATGAATCTTAGCTCACTTGCTCCAGCCTTTATACCCTACAATAGCAATTTAAAACTTGTGATTATCTCCACCTATGTCAATCTGCCCCCTATACCAAATCCATATAAAAGCTCCCCATTATTACTTTTTATTCACTTTTTTTGTTTAATAATGTGGTATTATAGGAATCCAACTTGAAAGTTACTGAATGTTGCATGCTGAGCCACTGGAATTACGAAAAGTGGACAAACCCTCGCAACAACCTGAAGAAACATAAAATGCAACAAATCAAACTAGGAATGATTGAACTTGTCACACCTAACTCAACCTGAAGAAACAGAGATTAACCAGTCTGGGATTACAAATCAGAATCCTAACACGCCAACCCGAGAGGCAAAGCAACACCTAATGCCCCCAGAATTATGAGGAGAATGTGGAACAAACTAAGTTCAACCAATGGCACAGGAAGTGAAGCCCTGCATGTGGAATTACGAGGACAGAGGTCCTTCTTCCCTGATCATAGAAATAAAAAGAATGACCAAATAGAAAGGCCATGCACAACTCAACCGAAAAGCGAAGAGTCATCTCTGAACCAGAATTATGAAGAGGATCCCATGTAGGATGGTCCTGCTCCTACCATACATCTGGGAAAACCATCCAAGGTTATTGGTAGGAGGACACTCAACTTCATCCTCTTTTCCTTGAGTGGAATAATGAGTACAAGCATCGCTCAGGAGGAATGAACCTCTGTCCACCACTCCAGCAACTAGAAACTAGGAGTGGTAAGGACTTCCATGCTCTGGAGACAGTGCAACAGGTGAACCACATTCCCTATTTTGAAAAGCAAACTGACCCCAATTTATTTAAACTATGGGTCAGCAGGGATGGGCAAAATCCCCTTAAGCTTTATTCATAATAGTCCATGAGTGGGGGTCCAGTAGTGTAGTAGTCTTTGTGTTAGGATTGTGTACCACCTGCAAAGTGCACAAGGTGGTCTCAACACAGTTCGTTGACATCAGGAAAATTTGAGATTGGTTGATTGGTAGCTAGTGCGGATTTGGAAATAAGCATACCTGACCAGGCAACAGCTGCCACAGAGTGGGATTCAAATGAAAAGGATAAGAGGGACCCTGAAAAAGAATAGAAATAAACACAAAAGAAATGAAGTCACTCACCTCTTTTACAAATGAGACGGGGTGTGGAGAATAGCCATAGTGAGTAGACTAAAACCTTTTGAAGAGGCAACCGTCAAATATTGTAAATGTATTAGGCATGGTCCACATACCAGCCTGTACAATCTCCTCTAATGGGTGATGCAACCGAGCTGCCAGCAACATCGAGATATGGTGAACTTGGTGAAATGAGACCTGAAGAAGTCTATGTTCCTCTAATGAAAGCCTAGAGTAAGCAATAGACACCAATTGACAAACTCAACTGGTTAAAGTGACAGGAGATAAGTCACGTGACACCTTAGGATCCCAATGGATAAACAAATGGTGACGTGAACCACGAAACCCTATAGTTTGTGCAACATAACATCTAAGAGTCCGAACCGAGCATAAAAGACAAGCCAGATCTGAGCATTCATAAAAATAGGAAATAGAGGGAAGATGAATAGGAGAGAAAGTCTTATCCCCTTCTCTAGTTGCTGACGTTTTGGGAAGAAAGGACCTATTGGGATGCAGCAGAACATAAGTGACCCAGCCACTATGGCATCACCAGAAGAACTTGACAGGAGAAGGAGTGAATGAGTGCAAGAACCTTGCATAACAGATGAATCGGAGGGGAATGCGTAAAGATGAAGACCAGTCCAATCCTGGGTGAGAGCATCACTACCCCAAAGCCATAGGCTGAGGGACAGGAGACCATAAGGATGGGAGCTGAGCATTCCAATGAGTGGCAAAAGTATCGATCTGAGGCATCTCGAGACGACAGCAGATCCAAACAAAAACTTGTGGATAAAGTATCCATTCTGTAGGAAGAATTCTGTTAGGTCAAAATAATTGATCGGCCATTAAATTCATAACACCTGGAACTTGACAAGCAAGGAGGATAATTGCAGGTCCATAAGAAAAGATCCAATGTCTGAAAAAAAAAGAAACCTGGAATGAGTGCCCCCCCCCCTCCTGCCTTCTTGGATATGTAAGAGGCCACAGTGGAATTGTCCAATTGAAGCATTACCACCTTCCCTTGCAACAATTTGAGATTCTGAAACAGCTTGTTGAACTGCTAGAAGATCTAAAAGCTTGATATGAAGAGAAGATTTCTCTTCTGTCCAGAGACCCTTGAATTCAATATCCCCTACACAAGTTCATCCATTTTGATGAGAAACCCAGCTTTTGCGACTTCAGATAAAAGAGATCGATTGTAAAGCTTTGTCAAGTGACAGAAAGGAGTGAGAAGATGCCAGTCATCCATATAATGATGAATATGAATGCCCACTGAGTGAAGATGACAGGAAAAGACCTGATTATCCAGCAAAATACATATGGGGCAGAAGCAAGGCCAAATAGTAGTACGAAACTAAAAAACCTGCTTCTCGTACACAAAACAGAGATACCGACATGAAGAATTAAAATAGTGGGTTCATCACTGGAAGTTATTAAAGTTGAAGACAGAATAAAAAATAACATTTATGGTACTTAGTAATTGAATTTATTTAGAAATTTGTATTTTAAAGAGATGATCTAGTGTGAAAAGTTAAGAGTAACATTTGTAAAAGAAAATAAATTATTACAATGTTAACATTTTGTCAAATATTAAGTATTTTAAGCTTAGTTGTTTTGTTTGAGACCATTGAAATTACTGATTTTGTGAAGAGTAGCTATAAACATGATGGTGAAATGAAGTCTTTCATTTGGGACTCAAAAGCCATGACACATTAATGTTTATCTTGAATCACTCTGAGTTCAGATCTTGTACTTAGAGATTACATTATGTTTTTGGGATAAAAAAATAAATGAAAAAATAGCATTGGGAAAACTATCCGATTCTGTGTATAGTTTACAAATTACTAAATTCTACATTTTTAGAATTAAAATGAATTTCAAATATGTGCTTGCCTCTGAAATACAGAAACTTTACCCTTGTTGAATTTGAACTTGTGCTGTTAACAAAACAAGTGACTCAATGTCCTTTATATATTACATAGATATGTCACTTACTCGTAATTCTCAACCCTCTCATCTTCCATTTGACTTATCATGCATATGTTAGGGGAACTTACATAAGCTCTATTTTCCTGCCATAAGTAAGATTTCTTTGAAAGTTAAAGTCATGATGAAAATTCATTTGTGGGGAGGTGGAAGGGAATACATTTCAGAAGCAAGTGCCTGTTTGAAATAAGTTTTAACTCTAAAAGCCTAAAATCCAAATCAGGCAGAATTACAGCACCTCTCAAAAAGTGAAAACAAAAAATACCTACATTGTAAAGGAGAAGGAAACCAATGAATTACAAACTGCAGGGCAGAAAAATAATATATACATACACAAAAAAAATGTAGCTAAGCAATCATAATAGAATCCAGAATAAGAAATGAACTCTTTGAACTGGAATAGGGAGAAAGAATAGCATGGATCAGCCTTATAGAAAGACTGGATCTAAAGGACACTCAGAAAGAAGGCATTATTTTCAGCAGAATACTTTTTCCCCCATGAAACCCCTGTTTATGTATACACAGGAGTTGGTTTCATAAGCAGTAACAGTGTATCACACCAGTAAAGCCAACAATGAGACAGAGTTGGTGGAATAAACATATCTAAAATTGCCAGGAAGTCACAAATCAGCTAGATTAGTGGTTACCTACAGGAAAACTGAAAAAGACCCAAAAGAAAGACTTAACATTGTAAGGACAGTGCAATGCAGGCACGAAGTAAAAAATGTGGATGAACCCCATCCTGGCTATAGCAAAGACATCAAGTGAAATCTCTAATGCCATGCAAAAACATGCACATGAAGGTAGAAAGACACATGCTGAGGAATCATCAGCCATCAGATGGCACCCTCAGTTCACTTCCCAAAGGCAACACTCTCTCATGGAGCTCCAGTGTAGAAGGTGGAATGTGTGTTTAGAATCAAAGCAGAAGTAAATGTGACTTGCAAGATTCCTGACAATACACACACACACATATATAATACATATACTCAAAACTTTCTCACACTCATACACCACTAGATTAGTGTTGGAAGACATAGCAATGTTGCCTATGACAAATACAGAGGCTAAAACAGATTCTCAATACATAAAAGTGATTGTTTTGAATGATGTTTAAAGTCCATATTATTCACAATTCCAAATAACCTGGAAATGATTAGCTATGGGTGTTGGGCATAAAATACAAAAATGTGTAAGAAATGGATCCCATCAAGCCTAAAAAAAAACACAGGTGGTAAACAGAATCTCAAAATTTAAGATACAGTGATGATGGGGTAGAAATGGTCAAATCACTCCATCCTGTGAAAAATGAAGAAGGTGAATCTGTACATGTAAATAAGTAATTTGATAATCTCCATTTTTCATCCAAAAACTTAGTGAAGGAAATGTCACTAAATTCTTGTAGGTTACATTGAGAAACAAGGAATATCTAGATAAAATTTTTCAGAAAGAGAAAATTCTATGATCAGTCCTCGATCTCCTGTTGTCTCCAGCACCACAAAGACATGAGAGTAAAAACCTCAAGGTAACATAAAGTACAAGCTCGATATCACTTTGTTTTGGAAAAATCTGAAACTTCTAGATCCAAAGTCAGATAGAAACTGTAAGAGTTGAATCTTTTCGATAAGCAATACAAAATGTAAGTGAAGAATCTGAACACAAAGCAAAGGATTCAAAGATAAACAAAAGTCCATACGTAGTCAATGAGTGAATCATAAAGACCTGTCTTGTTTACATAGATGCTAGGCTACATTAAAAGTATGAGTAGATGTAATAAAAACAACAACATTACACACAGAACTCCAGAATGCAATGATGACCAGAAACAAAACAAGATGTTCAAACCCAAATCACCTCCTGCTTCTCTGAATGAGAGAAAAATACCTGCAAAGATAAAACTGAAGCAGTTTTTGTTTTGTTAAATATACATATACATAGCAAGGTCACCTGTTTTAAAGACAAGCATTTTTAAATACAGTCTGATGAGGAAAAGTGTCAAAGGGATATAAGAACCACATGGCAATGGAAACAAGAGCAGTGAGGCCTGGCGTAAAAAGGACATCAAAGTAGATATTATAATCCTGAGTAAAAATGAGAATAACTAATAATGGTGCAGAAAATGAATATCTCAAAACAAAACAAATAATGGCATGCAGAGCAGAAAATTGATGACGGTAAGTGAAAGTAAAAAATTAAGTGGAAGGACCCTCAACCCCAAAATCATTATAAGGTGTGAAAAATAAAAGATTCAGGTATAGAAATCATCTCACATGATACAAGCACCATCAGACATAACTAAATAGGTTTAATACTGAAAATATTAAACATATGCAAGAAAAAAAAAAGACAAGCAGAAGTGTCATCAGGATTATGGTTAGCATTGTAGCATGAGTGGTATGCAAATCAAACATCCTAACAAACTTTAAACCTGCCAGGAATGTCAGTATAGAATGGCATGGCTATGTGGAACTATTAATACAGAGAGTGCATCAATGGATTTAACCTTTGTGCTTTAGGCATAAGAAAGGCCTCTACTAATGCCACAGAAACTCCCATAATAGCAGATATAGTTGCATCAGAAAAAACATCGTAACAAAGTGAACAGCACATCTGTGAACAAAGAAATCAAATTTATGGCAGGAATGCACAGCTTATGTAATATCTCCTGACACATGTAAAATAAGTCACACGGAAGGTAGGTAAGTGAAGAATTATGGCTAAGTAATGTATCTCAGCAATACACAGAGGACATTCAGAAAATGTTTTGAGACACGTTTTGCTGTCAACATGATTTCAAACTCAACAAGGAAAGGGTTACTCTGTTATTATATCTTTCCAAAATGAAATTTAAATTTTACACCAATCCAATTTCATTCGTCTTGTGATTCTACACACTTCCTAGTGCAAAGCTTAGTTTCATTTGTAATTTTGAGCATAAAAAACTCATAGGCCTTAAAAGACAGGTACTCTAACTCACCATTTCAACTTTATAAGAAGCCTAATGTGATAACTTGAATTTTTTACAATTACCTTTAAAATTGAAGTAACAATTATCTACAATGTATGTTCAGTTTACATTTCTACATTTACTTCCCCAAATAATTTGAATTTTAAGCTAATTGGCAAAAAAAAAAGTGATTTTGTCATTTGACTATCCCAGTTGAAAGGGGAGGTTTTAACCACAGTACTTTATCATTACAATCAGAATGAACATTTGATATTTTTATGTTCACAAGGAACTAATTTCTTGCTTCTTTTTTCTTTAAATAAAACCAATGTTTTTTTCTCAAACTATTACTTGTGAATCATAAACTTATACCCACACAGTAAGGTATGGATTAATTACCATTATGACAGAAACCAAATATACTTCAAATAATACAAACAGAAAATTGAATCTAATTTATCAAATTAACATTAAGATACCAATAATAAGTCCAATGATAATAGAATAAAACAGGATTTATAATTAGTGCTGCTCTTGCAAATATTATTTACTTATTCAACCAATAATGATCTTTAAGGGCTCTAGACTTACATGTTTTCAACATTACTTACAAACTACTCACCTCATTCCATTACCAGATATTATCTTAGTAGGCCTTATAGTATGTTCCAACAATAATGATCTTTAAGGGCTCTAGACTTACATGTTTTCAACATTACTTACAAACTACTCACCTCATTCCATTACCAGATACTATCTTAGTAGTCCTTATAGTATGTTCCAACAATATTGTCTTTGCTAAATATTATTACTAATGAAATGAGACAAGTAAACATCTTTCAACAGCATAACGGCCTGTATTTATGATGTAATTATGTTTTAAGATGGGTCACTGGCGAAAGGCCATGTCATCTCGTTTGTTGACTCGCATTCAAAATTTTATTGAACTATTTCAGGAATTTATGTCAATAACTTTGGTATCAAACTGTAGATTATAATTCAAATTTTAGTACTATATATTACTCAATTTCTTAGTTCAAAAGCAAATATTAAAAAACACAGATAAACATCGATTTTTGTGTGCACGTGGTATGTTGAATGCAAAAGTGGTTTAAATTAGATGTTTGTGAAGTCAAAATACTAAGTGTATAGTTTCGTATGAATTAGAAACTCAAATTACCAATATTGACAAGCTAGAATATCAAATAAGAAGTCTTATCTTTTCTATTTGCTAAGATATTGCTCATGTAATAAATCAAACACAGTGGCACTCTGCCCAAATCTTTCCATTTTTGGAAATGCTCTTTTATATACACTTACTTCTATATGTGACAAGAATAAGCAATCAGAAGCTCAAAATGTCCCCCTAGTGGCTTTCTCAGCCATTTTAACTGGCTTGGATGCCATTTTTTTCTTTTGACCCAATATTTCAATGAGGTAAGGTGTATCTTTAGTCTGCTCAAAATTTCATATTTTTTAGACTAAAATACATCTTAGTTACTAAGCTTGATAAATTATAGTGCAATTCTATGGTATTGACATAGTAATTTAAGCAATTTAAGCAACAATCAAGTACAAAAGTCGTAACTAGAAGAGATAATTGTTTGCTTCACTTCATTAGTTACTGTTCTATGTTTTAAGAAAAATAAGTTTAAGAACTTATTTCAAAATAGCAATAATCTATATACATACATAATGTATAATAATTGAAATGCCACTGTATTTTACAAAATATTAGTCTATTAAAACACAGCCAAGACAAGTTACTTTGTACAGACCAAAGGTCAGTTTTATGTTATTGGATAAGGTAACATGAGTGCACATGCCACGTCATTGTAATTTCTGTATCGTTAGCCAGGCACGTCTGAAAGGTTAGTATAATAAAAATAACGAATATATATAAATGTATAATCTTATGAGATTTAAGCTACTTATCCTAAACATTTATGTTTTCATGTTATAATTTGTGTTCATTCTAGAATGAAAGAGCCATAATTTATATTTATTTCCTAATTTTTATGGTGGTTACGAGATCAATCAATTATAACGAACCCATACAGAGATTCATTACTGAAAATAACAGATGAAATATAATGTTTGATAACTATCTGGACATTATAAATTTCACATGTGAAATTAGAAAATTTTCTGATGCATAAAAGTATTTTTAACTTGAAAATGAAAGTTACTTTGCATGTTAGATAAGCAACATGCAAAAAGAAACAAAAAGCCATGAGAAAAACATTGCTTTACAAACCTTAAGACTTGATAAAAAAATCTGATATTTTGCATATGAAAGCATTGTAATGTTTACTGAAAATGTACCAAATTTCATTAACATTGGCTAACGATTTAAAAGTTATAGCATGAAAACTATAATAAGCATAAAATGGTTACAAAGTTGGTCCAAAAGGACCAAGTCCATGCTAAAAGAGTTAAAAGCACATACACTCATAAAGTTCTAGTAACATGAATTCACCAAACAACTACAGCGTATTGCAATTATGTATATACCTCATATATACTACATATATCAAACGACTACCATTTTTGATAACAATAGAAGAGTATTAATAATTTCTATCAAATTGGATAAGTGCAGAAGTAACCATGATTATGAATTTAAAATTAATAACACCTATGCACACACAGTAGATCTGCTCTTTAGCAGTAGAAAAAGAAGGAAAAAAATTGAATCATATTGATAGAAACAAATTTGACAATTCTAATTAGATAGTGTAACAAGCAACGTACCATATGTCTGCGTAATATTGTAGAGCTATTCATGTACTTGAGACAGTAATCACACAAGAAGAGCTTCGGAAGACACTGATATTCTTCTGGGTAAGGTGAACTGTACCAGACATCCATCTCATATCTTCCAAGCTCTATCGTTCTGATACCTCCTCTCTTGGATCTCTGTAACCTCTGTTGTTCCTGCTGAAAAAAACAGCAATAATTACCTATATGCTGTTAATATGATGAATAGTTGTTCTCAGGACTAACCTTTCATACTGGACAAAGCAAACAGAGCATTAAACAACCACATTGTACTCCAATTTTTAGCAAGTGTTGGATTAGTACAGTACAATAAAATATTATCAAGTATACACAAAAATATATTTATTTACCCATATAAATAAAATTCTGTATGATTAAACTTGCTTTAACGTCACTACTTGAAGCCTGAAAAAAAAAAAAAAAGTTGCAGAATACCTTTTTCTGATGAAAACATTTTTCTCAGTCACTACTGGCTTACTCATTTTATGTTCTAACTGAGAGCTTCATATGTGGTCATTGTTAACTTTAGGTAGTTCCCTCTTTTTCAAACTAATGAAGAATAAATTTTGGATTTAGTTTTTAGGAAATTACAATTTCTTCTATTATTTATTAACATTTATTTACACAACTATGTCCTCAGTGATAAATAACTGAAAATTATCTCCAAAGTTTTGATTTCTAGCCTTTGCCAGGTTGGAGTTCATCTTATTAGATCCTCATCAAAGGATTCACCAAACACTCCTGTAGAAAATGGAGATAACTCATCTACATCTAGCCACCCAATAACATTCTGTATGTTTTAACTTCTGCACTGTTGTTGTTGTTTTTTTCATCTAGCCACCCAATACCATTCTGTATGTTTTAACTTCTGCACCGTTGTTGTTGTTTTTTTTTCTAGATCCCCAGTTTCTGATTACTTCCATGTAAATTACTTCCATGTAACATTAGAACATAGATCCCCAATTTCTGGTTCTAATGTTACATGGAAGTAATCAGAAACTGAGGATCTAGAGTTCTAATGTTACATGGAAGTAATCAGAAGCTGGGGATCTAGAGTTCTAATGTTATGGAAGTAATCAGAAGCTGGGGATCTAGAGTTCTAATGTTACATGGAAGTAATCAGAAGCTGGGGATCTAGAGTTCTAATGTTACATGGAAGTAACCAGAAACTGG